GACCTCATATTGCGATGTTTCAAAATCGTTACAAACACAATGGTTTGACTGCAATGAATGAACAAATGACCCATCTGGCAACACCATATTCTGAGAACGTTCTCCTGTGTATTTCTAACAGAGAGATATTTCAGATGCCCACACTTATACCGACATGTCCCATACGATAAATAAGCTTCAACAAGAGATAGGCATTGTATGTGACGGTATGTGAGGCCGCCACAAGGACTTACACTGCTAAAACGCACGGTGCAGAAAATGTATTACACTGCTAGAACGCATGGTGCAGAAAATGTATGAATTTTGGGATTTTTTTTTTTTGGGAATGAGTGTAACATTTTTTTACCAATATTAAAATCTGTAAATTAGAATATCTGATTCTATATTCTTTCTACATTAAAGGAGCGTTCATTTCGTTCGTTTATCATAAAAAATGTAGAAATTACACCATTTTCAGAAACATGCTTACAATTTCATCGCTCTAGAAGGGCGGACATTTAAATAAACTCCGTCCAGCTGCCCCTACCGGAAATTAAATGGCCCGTCCGATAAAGGTTAAATTGCTATTTTTATTGGAATAAATGTACTTTGTACAATAAAATTGAAACTTTATTGAAACATTACTATATGTACAGTACATTATTTATTGAAATTACCCAAAGCGTTTAGTTTGTAGTTACGTCAGTAAGTTGAGAAGCTTGGTGATTGGCTGTGCTCAAGATGGGTCTATGATAGCTAAAGTACGAAAGGTAGTTCATGCAGGATAAATTGTCCATATTTTGTCCAAAGACTACATTGATACACGAAATAGTTGCCATCATAAAAGGAGTTACCTTCACATTGTTCTTAAAGGTTCTGGCTCTCCCCATGTATATGCATGGAAATGATAGCTCCTCATCATGCTCATTGTACATAATGCTAAGGGGTTTATTGTTTTGACCTGGAGATACTTCCAGGTATTTGTCTTCATTCCATAAGAGAGTGTTTTGCTTGGCAAGTAAGCATTCAGTATTGCTAGAATGTTGGTTCATTTCTTCTAAATCATAAGTATCTTCAGGCATGTTATCCACATTTAAAAATGTTGGATCTACCTCAGTGTTGTAGCGTTTGTGCAGGGGGTCTGTATCACATGCTCCAACCATCGTTGCCTTTTTAATACATCCTTGCAAGTACATACTCTCGTGAATGAAATTTCTCTTCAAATGGACGTTAAAGCTATAATTGTCATCCATTAGCCTTAGTAGTGTTGTTACCATATTATTCACATCTACCAGTACATTGATGACTTGCCCTACAATACCATATCCTCCCATCTGATGCCTGAGTCTTCTGATTAAATGAAAGTCTTGGGGCCACAAGTCTTGTGTATACCAGCGTTTCTAAAACTTTTTTGAAGTGGGGACCACTTTTATGAGTCAGAACAGTTCTGCGGACCTCCTTACTCTTGTTTCCTTCGAAAAGAAATTAATTTTTTAGCGTATTGTATTACTAGTATACTTATATTTTTTAGTATAATAAATTAAAACCCATTTAAATCAGTTAATTTTATATTAGTGTTAAGTAATTAAGTTAATAGAAGAAGATTCATATTCATTTATTAATAATTCAAGGCTATTAGAAATTGGATAATCTTTAACTTATTAACTAAAATAATAAATAAATATTGGTATTCACATTAATGAGATGGGTGAGCCTGCCGATTCTTGCACATTTGTTCTATATTTGGATGTATGTTGGTGAGCTTAAGTCGGAGATCGTCACATACATCGAGTCGATTTCGGTACTTTGTTTTTATTTGAGTTAGTGACAAAAACCCTTTCTCACACAGGTGCATAGAACTCTCTTTTGTTGCTGAGAGTAGAGTGGGTAGTCGGTAGGCGGGTAGGGTAATGAATTTCATAAAATATCAGTACTGGAAGAAAAAGTGAAAGACGATTGCCATGTGTAATTGCCAAACTATAAGATTTGCAGCTATAGTGTGATATGCAGTTCATTTGAATTTTATTTTTTCTTCTGTCTTTTTTGAAAGACCACAAGGGCACACCTCGAGGACCACTTGTGGTCCGCGGACCATAGTTTGAGAAACGCTGGCTTATACAGTCCAATGGGGGCACACACATTGGATAGGGAGGATACGCAAATCCGTTACTGCTTGATAGACTAGGTACTTGATCTCTGTCTAGTGTTGCTGTACAGGTTACACATGCCTTTAACTGAGCAACACCCATGTCTGAAAACTCTGGAGCTAATACATTTATATGTTCTTCTTTTACTTGTTTTAAATCATTCATATACAAGAATCTATCACATATGTCGCAGGCATAACCAGTTGGATTACCAGTAAAATTCTTTTGAAAGTATTCATTGGCTTGATTATGATTGTATATAATTGGAGTTGGTATAGGGTCAGTTGATGTAGATGCTTGTGGTGTTTTATTTTCCTGAGCTTTGCATTTACTGTAATTATGCATGACCTACTAAGGTGGTTGAGCTGATTGAAGCGCATGCATATTTGGTATGTTATTTTTCTTTTTTGTGTTATTGTTATCATTTGTTTTTAAATATTTATTTTTGAGATTCAGATTTTCTCTTGAGAGTAATGCTAAAAGCTTGGACCCCCCAGTCCATGAGGGGAGCTGAGCTTTGTGAACACGACACAAGAATCAGGGATGAATGCAGCTCTCCCCCCCAACTGTATGTTAGCAGTAGTTGGGTAAAGAGGGGAGGAGCTGCTAAACATGTCTACTGAAAGCTGGAATGGCATAATCAGAGAAGACGTCTGTTCCTAGGCAGTGGCTCTGTAAACATGTTTTCATGGCAAACAAATAACGTGACTGCTGCAACAGGTACACATGCAATAATAGAGGAACTGTTGGAGGTGGCATTCTCTGTTGGGGCTCATGCAGAGGCTGTATAAGGAGAGTCAACTGGGCCCTTAAGATAGACAACACAGATGAGTTCTGAGTGATAGCCAGCAATAGCAAGTGGCAGCCAGTAAGGATGTGAACAGAGAAGCTGAGGAATCTACACTGTGGGAGCCATTACCAGGCAACACCTACGGAAGCCAAAGAAGACTTAGTGCGGGCCACAGTGAATTGTGGATTGTGTGAATTAGTGATAATACCATAATTGTAGTTAGGTTTATAAAAGTTAATCCAGTTAACAATTCAAGAAAATAGTGTCTAGTCACTAAGCACATGTTAGTATTCCTCCAAATTTTTTATTTTCTTCTACCAGACTGTATGTTACCATAACCAAGAAAAACCTCTCAGTCTGAATCTTCACCATTGTGAAAACCTTGATTCTCTGTTTGTTCCAGTGACAGATTTTTCCATATATCACAGAAGTTTTATGCTTTCATCAAATACAGTGTTTGTCCATAAATTTCTGAGACTGATTTAATATCTCGGCTTAGGTAAATGTTGGGCAATTCCAGGAAAAGGTGTTCTAAATACGGGACATTTTACAGCTTGCTTGTGTTATTGACCTTAGTCTGCTCGTCTTCCTTTAGGCGGCATGGTGTGGTGGAAAAACCCGTGTCATTTATCAGTTTCAGATTTGTGCTGTGGGAAGAATGAACGTTCAATTTGAACAGCGAGTTAACATTAAATTTTGTGTGTAGCTGGGCAAGACAGCCACAGAGACATTGCAGCTTCTGCATAATGCCTATGGAGATGAAGCTTTATCTCGGGCGTGAGTGTTTGAATGGCACAGACGATTCGTGTCAGGCAGGATGTTGGTGGAGGATGACACAAGATCAGGCCGGCCTTCAAGTTTCTGGGATGAAGACAATGTGGTTTGCCTCAGAAACATGGTATGGGAAGACTATACTGTTACAGTACACATGTAAGCTGATACCCTGAATATCAGTAAATCGACCTGCCACCAAATTCTGCAAGAGGACTTTGGTAAATGGTGACTCAGTGCCAGGCTAGTCCCATACGCACTCACTCAGGATTAAAAGGAGGTGTAAGCTTCATTTTGTGCTGATTTGTTACATGAGGCACAGAACACTTCTACATTTGTCAACAGTATCATGAACCATTTTGTTTCCATTGTGACCCTCAGACAGAGGCAAAGCACTGAATAGTGGTCAGTGGGTTTGCCAGCACCAAAGAAAGTGAGGCAGTAGTCATTGAAAACAAAGACTGTGATGATAATTTCTTTTGAAGCCATGGGTATTGTTCATCACGAATTTGTTCTGCAAGGGCAAACTGTCAACCAGGAATTTTACATCTGCATACTCAGGCACATACGCGAGGCACTTTGACATGGTCACCCTGACCTGTGGACATCTGGACAGTGGACTTTGTTGCATGAGAATGCGAGACCACACACAGCTCTAAGTATCAACAGATTTCTTGCTAAACACGTTACTGTGCTTCAGCATCCCCTGTGCTCCTCTGACCTCTCTCTGTGATCTTTTTCTGTTTCCATGACTGAAAAGAAAAACTGGAAGGATGGCAACATGAGAATATAGAGGCTATTCAAGCAGCTGCAACAACAGAGCTCACAGACATTCTGAAAGCAGCATTCACCAGCTGCTTCCAGGACTTGTCGAAACACTGGCAACAGTGTATTTACTGCAGAGGTGACTACATTGAAGGGAATCTGAACCATTAGTTAATAAGTTGAATTTTATTTTATTTTTTTTTTGGCATAATCAGTCTCAGAACTTTAAGACAAAGGTTGTAATGTATAGCTGATATTGGTGATAATTTCAATTTTAGCCAACTTATTTTGGAAAAATGAAACAAGGCTTATGAGATCACATTGCTCTCTGTGTGCTCCTCCATGCCTCGGTGCCTGAAAACCAGAATAGTGGAACCAGAAGAGACATTCTTGGTAAACATGTTCCTCTGGTAGTGAATGTGCACACAACAATATAAGGACTGCTGGAAATACTGCCTTATGTGCAACCTGTTTCATATCAGATACTCAGTATGTAGTGAAAGGAAAGTAGGTGATTATATCTTCCCAGAACTTCTTGTTTGTGTTATAACTTCCCAGTGAAGCCATCTTTTAGTCACTTTCGTGACATTTGTTACCAATGCAGGTATGCCAGATTTATACATTCTCATTTTTCTTGCAGCCCAACTATGATCAAGTATGGATTGAACAACATCCGTGACCTTGTTGGGGCAAAAATCGATCTACAGATGGTTCATAATAGTCCATTATGTCGGCTTGAGAAGTGAGTATATTTCATAATTAATATGCCTTATAGTTCAGTTTGCATATATGTGTGTATGTATATATGAGGGGGTACCCAAAAGAAACCGAACTTATTTTTTTTTTAAACTTATCTATCCAAATTTTAAGCACAAACCTTCAATCCCCTTCAAAGTACTCTCCACTTACACTAATACACTTATCTAGTCTTTTATTCCATTTTTCAAAACATTGCCTAAATTCATCTTTTGAGATGATTGACAGCGTCTCTGCCGTTTTTTCCTTTCATGTCTCTTTTCATTCGAGGAAACAAAAAAAGTCACACGGGGCAAGGTTGGGTGAGTATGGAGGGTGAGGAACAGGGGTCATACCATTTTTGGTCAAGAATTGTCATACAGACAGGGCTGTGTGAGCAGGGGCATTGTCATGATGGAAAAACCAGTCACCCGACTGCCACAAATCTGGCCACTGAGCTCCAAGTCACTCCCGACAGCTCCACAATTTCTTCAATGGTCCTTGTCATCGATCTTCATTGATGATTTCACGAATTTTTTCAACATTTTCATGTGTTCGGGCCATGGAAGGACGACCAGAACGAGGTTTGTCATCAATTGACATTTCACCATTTTTGAAACGGGAAAACCACTCAAACACTTGAGTTTTCCCCATAGCATCGTCCTTGTACACCGTTTTTAACATTTCAAGAGTTTCAGTTCCACTTTTCCCAAGCAAATAGCAGAATTTCACCACCGCACTCTGTTCACGAAAATCAGCCGTTGCAAAAACGACGATCACACAAAACAGTTGTCACTATAAACTCTGCCGAAACTAGTCCTTACCTTCTGAAGCAACGGTAGTCGGCTTATCGACTCAGGAATGTTAGCTCTATGCGCTCATAGCGGCAAAACATGGTACTACAAAAGCTCTGCCCACAAAAAAATTAGTTCGGTTTCTTTTGGGTACCCCATCGTATATATAGTGACGTGTCGCGCTAGCTGGACCCCTGCCCCAGAGCTGACGCACTGAGCGGAGCCGAAGTTAGCCGAGTCCCAGCATCCTGGTAGCTATGCAACGCGAGTCAACAGCGGTGACGTCACCAAGGGGTACTGCGGTTGCTAGGCAGTGCGGGTAAACAGTGGTTGCGAGAGACGATGGTAGTAACAGCGGTACACAGCATTGCTAGCACGACGGCACCAGACTACAGTGGTGCCTATTACGTGGCCATTTTCTGTATTGTCTGAACGAGGCTACATAAGGAGCAGCGAAGGCTATTCACAGTTAGTCCTCGAGCTACCTCCGAGAGTTCCGAGCAAGCTGACGAGTCAGTGTGTTATCAACAGTCCTCAAGGCAACAGCCTGCGAGCAGAGTTAGAATCTAGCCAGCGGTGTGTTACGAGTGAAAGTGTGTAATTCAGGGAGACTTGTATAGCTCCCGCGTTATTAATACATGAAGACTACTGAAGATAGTGTGAAGAGATTTGGTTGTAGGGTTTGTAAAGTGTGGAAACCCGCAACATTGTTATAATTAATTGTAGCCGTCATTTGTAGGTTGTTAAATAAACCAATTAACGATCTCTACGGCGTATTCAGTAATGAAACACGTTACAATATATATATATATATATATATATTGTCACATGTTGGGTGTATCACGTGACAAATAACTTCATGCCTTATTTGATATAGTGAATTTATTCAACACTCACTCTTACACTTATACAATTCACAGTTTCCCAATTACTGCCATCGGCAGTATCACAAATTATCGCATCAAATCTTCTAACCACGCATTCGTGTCTTCTTTCCGTGACTGCTTCTATATTTCAACTGTCTTCGGCGGCTTCTACATTTTAACTGGCTTCTTAGGCAGTGTGGTTCTCTTATAAACCCTCAGCCAAACAACAGGAAAACGCCTCGCTTACTTGTTGCCTAGTCGCCGTGTTCACAGGTGTTGCTGGGCAATGCTGTCGAGAGTTGTTTACTGCTGCATAGCAACTGCGGCATCCACCACTGCGTCACTGCGGGGGAGGGGGCAGAGTGTTGACTGGCATGTTACCATAGTAGTGACAGCGCACAATGTTGTTACGTCACCGCTGGCAGGCCAAGGGGATGTCCTCCATAGCGCAGTACGTCACACTGCTCCCTTCTTAAGGCTGTTCGTCCCAAATAGCCTAACGGTACATCTCCGTTCCTTTTATTTGCAGGCTGTTCTTGCAGCATCGTCTTCTTTCTTGTCCAGCTACTCCTCTTGCAGTGACTATCCTCTGTCCGTTACATCCAGTCCCCTCTTAAGACCAGCTCATCTCTAGCGGTTTCCTGTTAACTTGCCAGAAGATCCAGTTGTGTCACATTCACTCTTCATTCATTCACTCTCGTTGGGAAGACCGGTGCTTCTACGTTACTGGCTCCTACTCTGCACTATTCCATTTTTTTCGTTTCAGAGAGGGTTGACCTCTCCACAAAGTCCAGTCCTTGCCTTGTCATAGGCCGGCAGAAGATCCAACTATTCTCTTCGCGATCTTCATGCTGACAATCTCGTAGATGGTCTTCTTACAAGTTCTCCCTCTTATGTGCAATCGCTGTCCTGATCTACACCCTCCAATGGCGTCCTTGGTTGGCACCTTTTTCTTCTGGCATAGTGGCCGTCTGCTGCCTATGTTCTTTATTCCCGTTCTTCCTTTCCAGGTTTCTTGTTCAGAACTTACCCAGGTTGAATATTTCTTTACGAAATCTCCCTTGCGCCATGTCACACCTGCACAGCTAGTCATATTTCTTTCGGCAGCCAATTCATGCTGAGGTCCGCACTTCCCTTGGGTTGTAGATTTCCTTAAGAAGTTCCTCTTGAGCCATGCCACTGTTGCACGGCGGGACACCTTCCTGCTGGTTTTCTTCTGCCATGCCACTTCCACGCGGCGGCTCATCCCTCTGCAGGCTACAGCCAACTTCTTCTGGGGTCCACAATTTTTCCATGTCAAATTCTTCATAATTCGCTGGTTTTGGTATCCACGCCTTTTCTTCTTCGGTTCTCCGACTGGCATTACTTCGGCATCTTCTACAGGTACCTCTTGTTCTGCCGCCTCAGGTTTCCTGTCCACTGAGGCCGGTTCTTCTTCTGGACGTGCCTCCATTTCTCAGCAGGCCATCGTCACTCTGACCGGTGTCACTATGGGGATTTCTTCTTGTATCGAAGCCATGTATGATAACTTTTAGAATTTGAAGGACTGCAAACTGGGGTAGACTGGATGGCACCGAGTGCCGCCACAGGTTTCGTGTCCACTGAGGCCGGCTTTTCTTCTTCTAGACGCACCTCCATCACTTCTCGGCAGACCATCGTCTCTTCTTCTATTTCAGGTTTAAATGCATGCACCATCTCCTTGTGGCTGGTGCCCATTTCTTCTTGCATAGCTTCTATCCTTGCTTTGATCGCTTCAATTCTATGTTGGAATGTCTCATCCAACTCTGACCGCATAGATCGCACTTTGGCCTTCATCTCTTCCTTGTCAGCCTTCCTATCGGCCACCGCCTTTTCTTGGTTGGTGTCTAATTTGGCCATTAAATCGTCATTCTCTTTCTTCCTATCGGCGTTCAGTTTGGTAACCACTTGTTCCTGGCCAGCCAACAGACGTTACATCACCTTTTCTATTTCCATGATGTGGCAGCGTAACACTCGTTTCAATAGTTTGTCCTAAATGAAAGCGTGTACAAATTCGTAAAGCAATTCTGACACCAATTTGTCACGTGTTGGGTGTATAACGTGACAGATATCTTCACACCTTATTTGATACAGCGAATTTATTGAACACTCGCTCTTACACTTATACAATTCACAGTTTCCCAATTACTGCCATTGGCAGTATCACAAATTATTGCATCAAATCTTCTAACCACGCATTCGGGTCTTCTTTCCATGACTGCTTCTATATTTCAACTGTCTTCGGCGGGTTCTACATTTTAACTGGCATCTTCTAGTCTAAGTCACATTGGAGACTGACGATCAGTCAGTCTGTCTTGGTGTCGAGCCCCGATTGGGGCTCATGACCAGATTTTTTTTCTTTCTTTATATGACAGTTACTGTCCTGTTTGTTTGGGGCACCCTCTGTGACAAGAGGTCGGGTCTGTCATTTGTCAGTCATAATCTGTGTTAGTAAGTCCATTGTCAGTATTTACATACATTTACAAATACACACTTATTCCTTACTTCTATGTACACTGTATACAAGGCCTCTGTTAGTCCAGGCTCAGTACAGCAGATTATGCCCTATTTCTAGTATTATTCGCTACCGCGGCAGTCCAGTCACTTGAACGGTCGTATGCCTGACCGCCGCCAAGTTATACTTTCTGTGGCGGGCTTCACCTTGTCCGATGTTGCGAACATTCTCATTATCATGATTTTGTATGACTTCTGCTTGTTGCCTGCATAATTCTGTTATAAAGTCATATACATATGGGATTTTGAATGCCATGTGCAAATCACGGACCGGTGTGCGCCTTGGAAAATTGCCAATGGTGCGGAGAACCTTGTTTTGCAGGCGCTGCAATTCCACTAGATGGGTGTCTGCCGCAAACTCCCAGGCGGGACTAGCATAAGTCATTACAGATCTAATAAGAGCTTTGTGGAGCGTCAGTTTTGTTGGCGCTCAATTGCTCACTTTTCAGTAGGAAATATACTCTAGTGATTGTTCTGAAGTCCTTGGCTTCGATCATTTCTGTGTAATCTTCATGTCAATCTCTTATCGAAGATTACACATAGATATTTTGCACTATTTACAAATGGAATATTTCTTCCATTTAGAGTAAGACAAGGCTCAGGCGGTCGACGACCACGAGAGAAGTAGACCCCCTGAGTCTTATCATCGTTAATTTTAATATTCCAGCGCTCACACCAGGTCTCCATTGAGCTGAGACCGCACTGGAGTTTTCTAACAATAAAACCCTCCTTGCTATCTGTCGCATACAGACAGGTGTCGTCCGCAAAGAGGGCCATGTGAACACCATGTGTTTGGGGGGCATCATTTATGTACAATCACCAAGAGCGAATAAGATGCGGCATGTCTGAAGTTCATCAAAGAATATGCTCATTGTCTTTTTCAGTGTGAAGGGGATAGTTTGTCATGAATTTGTTCCTCCTGACACTACAGTGAAGTGTGACTTACTGTGATGTTTTGAGATGCTTGAGAGAAAAGTGCAATGAAAAAGACTGGAACTTTTGCGCAACCACAGCTGGCTCCTTCATCACAACAGTGCACGCACACACACATCCCTCCCTATTTGCCGGAATTGGCCCCCTGTGATTTTGCTTTGTTTCTCAAATTGAAAATGAAACTTAAGTGGCTATGTTTTCAAAGAGTGTCTGACATCCAAAGTGAATAATCGCAAGCGGTACTCAACAGCATTAAGGAAACTGACTTCCAGTGTTTTTCTGGAGCGTGGAAAAAAATGATGGGATTGCTGTATATGTTCGCAGGGAGACTGTTTTGAAGAAGATGGCAGCCAAAATTGAGTTATGCCAGTATTATTTGTTTGACCTAGTCCGGGAACTTTCTGTTAGCAAGACTGTAATAAATTAGTATAGCCCACATACAGCAATTTCATTTTCAGCAGCTCTCTTCTGTAATAGTAAATGATGAACCATTTTAGCTACAGTCTTCTGCCAACTGTAGGGGTCTTCTGTTTGGGTGTCGGTGCAAGTCTATCCAGTGAGCAGTTTCTTACTCAATATGTTTAATATTTGGTATCATGACTGCTGTGGTTGAGAAAGTGCAGATCTATACATCCACTCCCCCATACGTCTTCATGGCATAGTGCTTAATTAATTAAGCATAGGACTTTGCCTTTTTTACCTTTTTTTCCTTTATCATGACTGTTGAAAACAGTTGAGTACAAATTCTTCTGTAATGATAATTCATCCAAAGAATAGGACCCACTAATTTATTAGTGAATGATACACTTGGATCTTATGGCTTGCTTTCTGTGTCAGCATATCCATATGTTGCTAGCTGCACAGTGAAAGATACACTTGGATTTTATGGCTTGGTATCTGTGTCAGCATATCCATATGTTGCTAGCTGCACAGTGAAAGATACACTTGGATCTTATGGCTTGCTTTCTGTGTCAGCATATCCATATGTTGCTAGCTGCACAGTGAAAGATACACTTGGATCTTATGGCTTGCTTTCTGTGTCAGCATATCCATATGTTGCTAGCTGCACAGTGAAAGACACACTTGGATTTTATGGCTTGGTATCTGTCACCATATCCATAAGTTGCTAGCTGCACAGTGAAAGACATTCAAAGAGAAATTGATGTCTTTTTTCACTAGACACAGCTCTAATTTTGCTGTATGAAGTTTTAATCTTTCCTAAGCTGGTAATGTTGGTTAATCTCATGCAGAAACTTTTTTTTTGTAACCCACTGTGGGAACATCCCACATATCTTATTTATACAGCAACCACTTTCCCGCTCACTTTTCACTATCACTCGCCCTAGCCAATCATGTTGCTTCCAGCGCTTGCATTTATACAGCACTTGCTGTCTAGCCTCATCCAGATCAATACACGCACTAGCCAATCAGCACTCTGCAAATTTCACTCCTCCATCACGCATTGTATAAACAGCGGAGCACATTGCTCGCCAGAGTCGGTTAGTCACAGTCAGTCAGCAGCAGTGACCACACCAGCCAGTCAGCTCTCACACTTTGTACAGAGCGATCGGTCTTTGGAGTCGTCAGCACTTCACTGCGACAGGGATGGCTGCCTTGGCTCTCCGGCGGTCATGCCCGACTCACTGGGCAACTGGCGCAGCTGCCACCACTCCAGTGACTGCGCTCTGCAACCAGACTTCTTCCAGCAACCACGCTCTGTGACCAAGCAACTTCTGACAACTGCCGCATTGCGGCCAGTCAACTAACTCGGCTGCCGTAACATTAGTCAACACACCGCAGCCAACATTCTTTCTACCGGCGTATGCAGCGCTACTTCACCGGCCAAACATCCCAGTCGCATGGCCCTTTTCAGGGCCTACAAACTTTCCGAAGTGGTTTGTCTGTTGGAGTATCGACAAATCCCACACCACTATTTAGAATTTGGGAGCCGGGATAGTGCAGTAGGTATAGTGACTGGCTATAGGCTGGACAGCTGAGGGGTTGGAGTTTGAGCCCTGACAGGGGCAAGATTTTTCTTCTCTCCGCATCATGAAGATTGGTTTTGGGACGAAACAGCCTCTGATCCAATGGATACCAGGGGCTGAGGTCAAGAATACATGGATCTATATATCCACTCCCCCATACATATTCTTAGCATATTCATAGCTTCATTAGTTAAGCGGAGGGACAGCTTTACCTTTTTTACCTTTGACTGTTGTGAGCTGGATAGCACAGTCGGTATAGCAACTAGCTACTGGCTGGACAACTGAGGGGTTGGAGTTCGAGTCCTGGTGAAGTCAAGAATTTTCACTTCTCCATGTTGTTCAGACTGGTTCTGGGGTCCACCCATACTTGTATCCAATGGGTATCAGGGACTGTTTCTTTGGGGGTAAAGTGGCCAGGACGTGAAGCTGACCACTTATCTCCAACTAGTGCCAAGGTCAAGAAAGCTGGGTCTGTACATCCACTCTCCTATATTCCTTCATGGCATAGTGCTTACTTAGTTATGTACAGGAACAACTTTACCTTTTACTTCTTAATATTTGTAGTTCATTACTGTAAGAACTGCTTATTTAAATTTCCCATACAATATGAAATATCTGTTGTGTAAGGTGATGGTATCTTTCTGTCTTGGAACAAACTTCTGAAATGTAAATGAGAAGAGCAGTACTAGTGTAAAATAATTTTCATTTCATGCATCCTGTTGTGTTATTCTATACAACTCTTTATTAAGTCTGTCACAACACAACATTAGAGAGTTAGTTGAAGGCTAAATTAGCTTTGCTACATGTTTCGACTATTCATAGCCATCATCAGGCAAATATACGATCATCATGTTTACACACTAGTGAACTGCAATTGCATAGTAAGTCTGGATACTTGACAATTATCATATTATAAAACACATGGTATAAAAATTGCAGTGAAATATAACCTTATTGTAAAACAAGGGTTATTTTGTAAAATAAGGTTAAAACTATTCAAGTGATAATCTATATCATGGAATCAGTCGTTACAATCTTGTATTTTCCGATGGACATGGTATATTCTAGACTTTTATATGATAAACTGTTTGGAGGCCTCCAAACAGTTTATCATATAAAAGTCTAGAATATACCATGTCCATCGGAAAATACAAGATTGCAACGACTGACTTTGTGATATACGAGTAGATACTTTGTGATATAGATTATCACTTGAATAGTTATTTTACGAAATAACTTTTGTTTTATAATAAGTTTATATTTCATTATAATTTTTATACCATGTGTTTTATAATATGATAATTGTCAAGTATCCAGACTTACTACGCAATTGCAGTTCACTAGTGTGTAAACATGATCGTGTATTTGCCTGATGATGGCTATGAATAGCTGAAACATGTAACAAAGCTAATTTAGCCTTGAACTCTGTATTGTTGTGTTGTGACGGGCGTAATAAAGAGTAGTGTAAAATAATTTGTACAGGCCCCTTACAGGAAGCACTTGTAAGAAAAGAGGCAGTGAAAGCTAATAATTTTTTGTCCTTTTAATTTATTATGGGTCCTGCTTTGTTGAAAGTAACTTAAGTTATGTTACTGCTGTTGTTTATATAATTTTTGCTAACTGATTTTGTAATCTTGCATTTTTTTTTCTTTTGTTGGACAGTTTGAAGTGCAAAGAACAGGATTATTCCTACAGGTTTTCTCACTTTATATTTTTTAATGTTTCCAGAAATGGTACATTGGGAACAGATGTTATACAAATGTTGGAGCAACGCTGGACTTCCATTCTTTCACAGTTACAAGCTCTCCATACAGAACTTCAAGAATTACAGATCAGTTCTGACAAACTTCCAGGACCAAGTGACAAGAATATAGAATTTGTGATTCTCTCAGATCCTAATCATCCTCCATATTCTGTCATCATTCTCTTGAAAGTTCTCACAGGCAGATACAAAATTGAAATATTATCTCATGTTCATTCTTCTATTTCTCTTGTACCTTCTGAATTGCAGTCTTTCTTGAATGGTCTTTTAAATAGCAGCAGTGGAAGCAGGTGTATAAAAGTAACATTGATATGGAAGAAAGTGGGGAAGGATCCCTTGTTAATTCAGTGTCCTATGAATAACGGTACCATAGCAGGAGAAGTGAATATTTCAAGGTACCTGAATCGTTTGCTTGAACAAAGGCCAAATCCTGTTCTGGTATATGAAAGTAAGGGAGAATTTTATGCAGGCCAAGTGGATATGTGGTTGGACTCTATTTACAAGTCAGTAACTCATGGAAGTAAAGACATGCATTTGGACATCATGCCCTCAATTTCTGCTGTTCTTGTTAAACAGGATTGGTTGATTCACTCTGTGTCTATTGCGGATATTTGCTTTTGGTCTTCTTTGAAACAGAATCCTTGTTTAATCAACTTCAATTCTAATCTGAAGAAATGGTTTGAAAAATGTCAACATATTTGGTTCACATAATTTATATACATTTAAATTGAACTTTGAGTGGGCCATTTGGTTTTGTAGCGCTCACTTCAAAGCTTCTTCTCTAACAGAGGTTTAATTTTATTTCCTTTGTTCATGGACATTGAGTGTTGTTATTAAATATTGTTGGTATTAAGTTTCAGAAGTAACTTGAACTCTTAGATAAGGTACAAATAATACAGTGTAATGCTATTAACCAGTTAAATGTATATATTTCATGTTATTATCACTCCTGCAGTGGGACATTAAAATTCTCTGGACATTTAAATTTGTTGCCTTGCTGTTTAATTTTATAATTATTGCTCTCTTTTTAAAATAGAAAATATCAACCATGTGCCAATATAAAATTATGAGAAAAAATCTCTGTGTAAGACCAATTATCACAGTTGATATATCTATATTTTCATTTATATAGCAATCACATCAAAGTTTATATTTGTTTTTAGTAAAACTTTTAGTAAAACTTTTGATCTTCTTTTGAAAAAGTATGGCACTATTGCCATTGACATATTTCAGTTCCCAATACATGATCACAAAGGTATGTGTGGCTCATGCTCATTCACTGTATGCAGTCCTGAATAGTGTCCAATGTTCAGAAATGAAACACGATCACAGAAGCTGACTGGCAGAACTACGTCCAGCCTAGACACACACCTGCATGATTGATTATATTGACATTTCAGTATGACCTATTACAGTTCTGGCTGCCTCGTTGATAAGAGACGTCTCATATTGCTGTGTATGCTGAATTTGTACTTCCTTTGCAAGTTCAAGGCTGCCATGGATGAATGAACTTTGCAACAAAGCTATTTGTTTTTCCAAACATCGATTACAAAATTGTTGCCTTGTAGAGACTATGAAATCATCACTAAAACAATTATATCACCAGAGACGAGACAGTGATGAAACTTCAGTGGCACATACTGTGAAGGTCTTTATAATTATGATGTAGTTTTCAATGCCAGTCCATAGTACACTTTCTAATAACTAAAATCTCACCATCAGACACTTCTTAGCCACTTGTTGAACCTTGATTTTCTTCCAGGCCCCTAGAAGTATCCACTATATGATAACGTTGGTAGCAGTGCAGCACATATCACAACACTGACACAGATTTTTCTTTGACACTGGTAACAGTGTAGGAGGTATAATGAGGAGCATTCATCCTTGTCAGTGGAGCAGTTTTTGCTGGTCTGCCAAACGATCCATCTCCTGTTACATGATATTGTAGCATGTAGAGACCTGTTGTTAGGTAATGACCACAAAACAAACAATAAACCAACATCTGTTACTAAGAAACAGATTCATAATAAGCAACCATTGAACTACAACAGAGGAATGGCATTTTCAACATGGTTCATGCCAAGAGCAATGAGTCAGTTGTGGGATATTAGCCAACAGGCAACGACGTGAGCACAGAAGCCGAGGAATCTCCATTGTTATGGTCCGTGACCAGTAAATAACTAGTGACAGCAGACTGAGAAGACTTAGCATATGCTCTGTGATTTGTAATGTGTGGAGACTAGCGATGGTGCTGTAAGTACTTATAGTTATGAATTGTGTGTATAAGTGTTCAATAAATCCAGTCACCAATCTAGATCCCATCTTCTTCCTCTAACATGGGACAATATTTTGAGATTAAATTTTATCTAGGTTTCACTTGAAATTCCATCTTGGGAATGTTCTTTTTGGTAAAGTAAATATGAATTCAAACAGCAGATATTGATCAAATTCAACAGTGTCTCCCCTCTTACTCTACAGTATTTGGGGGACAATCACTGGATTCATCCCTGGTTCTGTCCTTGTGTTCTCAGTACTCTCCAGATGGAATTGGGTGTCCAAACTTAGCTTTAGTAAGAAAATGCTAATCTCCATAATAAACGATTAACGACTAATACGAGTAACACTGACAACAATAAAAAAAGAAGTAAGACTTAACCATTACATTAGTACTTCAAATATGCATATGAAACATATGACCACCTTCGTTGATCCAGACTGAAACCCAATAAAAGAAGAATATATGTAAGGTAGCCACATGCAGCCATGTTTACCCCACACCTAGAAAATGGCCAAACTCATGTAACATATCACAATGTTACTTCATTATCTAGTTGTACCACAACACTAAATGGGGCAGCAGTGAGCCCAAACAAATGATAATATAATGCTAAACAAAACTTGCTACAACATCCCAGAATGAAAAAAAAAGAAGAAACTTGCATACTGTTGCAACGAGGAGGCCCATTTTCCTCAATGGCTAGAGGAAAGAGTCCAAATCTCCAATTTGAAAATCCCAGTGGAAACAGAATTTAGCAACTTAATTCGCGCAACGTCTGAAAAGCCAAGACTGCTCACTTATATCACCACAAACCCATGGAGGTCCTCCTTTCTGAGGAAGGGAGGAGGTGAAAATCATGTGGTACATGGAATTATGGGTAACAGTAAACAAGTGATGACATGTGTGCCTGGGGAGACATGAAGGAGTGGAGGATACTGGACCAAAATGGGGAACTCCGAAGACATTTGAACATAAACATGGCTCAAAATGATGGAAATGCTTTGGATAGTGTCTTTCTTTCTTTCTTTCTTTCTTCTTTTTTTTCTTTTTCTTTTTTTCCTCCCCCCCCACCCCCCTTGTGCTGTGATAGCTTGTCAAGTAAACATCACTGAGGTCCAGATCTTCCATTTCAGAATTACATCAATGACTACTATGGCCTTCTTCGTGTCTTGGCCTTGAACACTAATTGTAACCATTTCATCATGGGTGGTACTTGTTTTCACTTCACTTCACTTTATTATCATTAGTATGTATCTGTAGACTGAAACATGTTCTCCCTTTTTCAGTTTCACACTCTTCATTTCAGCAGGGACACCCTTCATGTTTCAATGCAAAGTTCCAGTAGCAACAGTCTGTATGCTGCATAGCTTTTGGAACAGATCTGGGCTTGAGAACCAACTGTCCATGATTACACAGTATCCCTGATTCCTCAGAGGTGCCATTAGTTGTAGAACTACTTTTGAGCCACATGGCTCATTTTTAGGAGCTTATGCAAAATGGTATCCTGCCCAATATGAATAATAAAATTCCATGCATAACCAGATTTGGCTTCACAAAATTCAAATGATTTTATACCAAATCTAGCACATTTTGAAGGAATGTATACATTCGATGACAAACATCCTTTCCACATTATCAGCAACTCATCTTCTCTCACTTCACACTTCTAAATTTGGCATTTACCAGTTTGTTTCTCTGGCTAGTACCTCCAAAATTTCTGGTTCACGTAACAACTCAAAATATTCCACAGAGTTACTGGGGTCTTCTAAATTAGCATCTATGCCAGGATTGCTAGCAAATGGAAAATGTGGTCACTCAGAGACTGACTTTACTCATATGCCATGTTGCATGCTACATGCTATTGTTATCACTCATAGTTTCATCAGAGTTTGTCAGAGCTGACACTCTGTTCGCCATATGATGAAATTTTCACATTTATTTCACTGTCACTACTATACTCTCAGAAATATCTATATATCAATTCCTTTACAGCAGATCAAGTAACACCACATCATCACTCACATGCATCTTGTTGCTAGGACCTTCCTTAATGTTTATTCAAAATCTTGAAATCAGGAAAGCTATCGAGCAATCAGCACCTTCTTGTCACACTCTGAAGTAACTAGAAGATTTAACAAGCACAGCATACTAATTTGCATTGCTGACTGTCATTATATCTAAAACGGTGGAGTTAGAGACATGCATGACATGTAGAGACATCATACCCACTATGATACGTAGCGCATAATGTGTTAAGATGTCATATGCACTTAACTGGTTAATAGTAGTCATTGATGTAGTGTAATTACATTTGTCCTAGTGACAGTGGAACCTGCGTCAGAGGTTCCAATTAAAGATATTTTATTGCTTAAGATATTTAGAAATGTTCACATCAATGTAATATATTTTTAACCCACTCAGTAAATACCCAGTTAATTTGGAAATGACATGACTATATAGCAAGACTGGCACAGTTCTATTCATGCACTGTCTAACGTAAAAATCTGACCAAATTTATTGCATGTTTTATTTTTTATATTTTTATGTAGTTTTTTTATAATCTTTTAATAACATTGTGGACTTTTAGTATGTTTGTGCTTCACACTGATTCTTGCTGCTTTGCAGTCAAAACATGTAGTATCTGAGCAGAAATAAAAATGAGAAGGTTTTACCTAAGTTTTTGACAGCTGTTCTCAAGGGTTGAATGAGGGTTACACTTGGGATACTGTCATGTAAAATTAACATGCACATTTTAAAAGCAACATAGCCAGAGGCTCTCCATTTATTGTCTGTCTTGAATCATTTATCTTGTGTCAGTTTTAAAATTGTTCTTATATTATAAGACTTCACTGAGCTCTACATCAACTTTTACTTTCACTCAAAATTCACTGTATCTCCATTTGCTTTGTCTGTTTTCTTATTGGTTACCACTTACCTGTTGCAGTCTTTTTGTTATAAATTTAAATTTTAACATTAACAGGCAAATTTTATCAGTTACAATTTGGACATCTCTGCTTCATGAGTATGTGAGTATGTGTAATCATGTGATTATGGGTATTTAGAGATATATAAGATACAAAATGTAAAAGTAGAGAAATGGTCGACAATGAATGTAATGGAACTTAATCTGCGACAGTTATGATTCAAACATTTTATGCTTGTAATAGTTGTCATGATTGTGTCCCTAGTTCTGTAAAATGCTTGATTCAGTACCATATTTTCATTTATATTATTTAATGAATTATACATATTAGGAAGAAAACTTTTAAGGTTTAGATGATCGCATGACATATTATTTAAAATTATTTTTAATGCCCTAGTCTCGGTTTTCTTTTATACCACTACATTTAAGAAATTTACTCTGTATCCTTTACCTTGTGTATAAAAGTCTAGTCTAGTACATTCTTATTCTAGGTTTCAAACAGTGGTTTGAGAGTGCCTTTAGGAAGGAACCTAGTGAAATAGAGCTTCTCTACCTAATGAAGGAAATAGAGCCAGTTTCCAAAACATAATGGGTTTAACCTTTAAACGCCGGACTTCGAAATAGTGGTAAGCTTGGGCTGGCCGGAGTTTATTTAAATGCCCGCTGCTACTCTGCGTTTAAATGTCCGTTCCTATTAGGCGCTTAATTTTAAGTGTTGTGTTTAAAAATGCTGTATCTTCCTCAATTTTTACGATAAATGGATGGTATTAACTTTGTTTATATCAGCAAAGAACATAGTGTTGCATATTATAACGGAAGATTTGAAATTTTTAATACAAAGTGTTATACTCTATTTTCAATTTTTTGTTTTAATTTTGATGCGTACTGCAAAAATGGTTTCCCAGTTCTTCACAGAGTTGTTCTGCATTATAAATTCATTTCTGTTTGTAACACTTGATGAATTTTAGCAGTCCCTGGTGTCATAAAACAGATGGAAGCAATAAAAACATTTGGTCTTCTGCTAGCCCTGCTTACACTCTTCGGATTTTCGAATCTCTTGACTAAAGGACAGAAGAATGAAAGCATGGCTATTCAAGAGAAAGCTAGAGGGATCCCTTCTTCAGTGCTAAGACCTCCCGTTAGAGCTGCAAAAGTTTATGGCCCCTTCTATTTGAATGAGCAGACAGCTGCATCGTGGCTAAGATACAGAGTGCGATCTGTTTTCTGTGCATTCGTAGTGAAATCGAATACTGTAGTATAATTTCAGCCTATATATACATCAAGCAGGTAACAACAAAAAAGGTACGTACATCGAATTTTACAATATATTTTAAACGTACCTATCTGCAGAATCTGCAATAAAATTACTGGATTGTGGATAAGTTTTGGCATAACTCATACGTATATTTTTGTTTGCTGTTGTTCATTTAGGTATCAATTTAATTCCTCTGTTAGGGTTTTACTCAAGTCTGTCTGGTAATTACTACATTCAAAAATAAATAAATAGGACTGTGCATGTGCTTCCACTAGTGGCGTGTGCGTGCGCTTCCACTAGCGGAGTTTAAATGCCTGACTGGCACAAACGGGGCACTTTGGCCATGATGACCTTACTCATGACTGGCACGAACGGGGCACTTCGGCACTTGAAGGTTAAAAATTAGTTTACATTTTTATGCAGTACTTCAGAGCTCACCATATTATGTGTCACAAAATACACAGATATTGAAACTGTGAAATGACTGATCGTCACATATTACCATTTGTAGACTTCCGGTGTTCACTCTTGGTTGCTTTTCCAGCACATGCCAGTTTGTTGCACTGCATAGTATTGTGGAACTGCTCTGTTTAGTCTGGACTTTCCCTTAAGATGGCACAGCAGTAGAGCTCCAGTTATATGCTGCTTTCATTCTGCTCCTGAAAGCAAAAATAGTTGGCTTATAATCAAGAGCATTTCAACCTAATTGGAAGGTAAAAAGGTAAAGCTATCCCTGTAACAGGCTGTGAAGGCCTGTAGTGTTGTGACATGTTGAGACTTCCACATTTTCACTAGACAGTCGGCTCCCATGGCGGTAAGGTTGTCAGCCTTATGCGCTGGCCGTCCTTTACCCCCAGGAAGTTTCCTGGTGCTCATTTCTGTTAGAGGCTGAGTTGACCCCAGGGCCATAGTGCGGCTGGAAGGATTAGGTAAATTAAAAGAAAAAATCCTCTTCCTTGATACTCGATCCCGTGACCTTCCAGCTTGTAGTATAGTTCCTCAACCAACTATGCTACCGCATGCCCCACCCTAAGTGGAAGCACTTGTTATTACAGTACCTAATGTGGAAGCTCATACCATGCTAAGAAAAGCATGTATGGCTTTATGCACAAAGCCCTCAGGTTGGGTTTTGCTCTTAAGTGTGTACCTCAAACAGAGCCCTGAACTTCATGGTTACATGTTATGCTGTCACAACTACTTAAGCATATGCAACACTGTCAAGACTTCCATTACATATTTAATTCTGTTATAAGAAGCAGGAAGACTATGTCAGTAATTAAGACTTCTTGTGGCATCTTGGTTTCTTCATCAAATCCTTAAAGTATGAGCACCTCTTTCAGGATTTTTACTGATTTCCACTGGTTTCGATCAGATATCTGAACCTTTCTGCAAAGGGCATTGCACCCTGGATACTAGCTTCCTTGAGCATTGCATTTGTGTCAGTATCTCTCTACATTCCCTTTGCTCAGTTATCACTTTTACTTCAGCTTGTGTTATTTATGACAGACCTGAATTTCATGCCCAACGTTCTGTGCAGTTGCAGATGCAGTATCCCTCCTCCACAGGATGAAACATGGGATATCAGTTGTGTAGTGCAAGGACACAGCCTGTTGAGTCCATTTACAATTTTTTACTTTGGAAGAAACTGAAATTTTGACATTGCAGCCTTTTTTTCAGGCCTGATATGTATACCTGAATTCTGTAGAGTATTACCATTCCTATACTCTACAGAATTCAGGTATACATATCAGGCCTGAAGAAAATGCTGCAATGTCAAAATTTCAGTTTCTTCCAAATTTTAATTAACCCTCTAACTGCCAGGCCTGTGCTACCAAACTAACTGGTAGAAACACCAAGACTGCTTGACTGGAGGTACAGCGAATGGACACAGTAATGAAAACACTAGGAAATTGAGGCATAGAATTTGTGTTGGCTATATTGAAAAGACTTCACTTGGCAACACTGAATGTTTTTCTGTTTGTTTACAACCTGTAGTGCTTGTGTCAGTGCATTAGTGATTGTATTCAGTGAAAGTCTGTGTGAAAGAGTCCGAAAATGGGAGAGTTGTCCGCTTTTGAAAAGGGACAGATTGTTGGTGCACATTTAGTTACAGCATCTATGACAAAAAAGCCACACTGTTATGAACTGAAGAAGCAGTTCACAAGAAGGGTGATAAAACTGACTATAGTAATTATCGGTGGATATCACTGTTATCAACTTCATACAAAATTTTCTCCAATATTCTTCTTTCAAGGTTAAGTCCATATATATGTAGATGAAATTATTGGGGATCATCAGTGTGGGTTTCGACGTAACAGATCAACTACAGATCAGATCTTCTGTATTTGTCAGATATTGGAGAGAAAATGGGAGTACGTTGGGACAGTACATCAGCTATTCATAGACTTCAAAAAAGCCTACGATTCAGTTAGGAGGGAAGTATTGTACAATATTCTGATAGAGTTTGGGATACCCATGAAACTAGTTAGGTTGATTAAAATGTGTTTAAACGAAACGTATAGTAAAGTCCATGTAGGTAAACATTTGTCTGATAAATTTCCTATCCAGAATGGTCTAAAACAAGGAAATGCCACTCCTTTTCAACTTTGCCTTAGAATATGCAATTAGGAAGGTCCAGGGAAGCCAGGTGAGACTGAAACTAAACGGGACACATCAGCTGTTGGTCTATGTCGATGATGTGAATCTACTGGGTGATAATGTAGATACCATAAAGAAAAACACACAAACTTTAATTGACACAAGTAAAGAGGTTGGTCTAGAAGTAAACACAGAGAAAACTAAGTATATGTTACTGTCTCATCACCAGAATGCAGGGCAAAATCATGACATAAAGATAGGAAACAGATGTTTCGAAAATATGGCACAGTTCAGATATTTGGGAACAACAATAACAGATCAAAACCTGATTCAGGAGGAAATTAAGAGGCAATTGAACTCGGGTAATGCTTGCTACCATTCAGTCCAGAACCTTTTATCT